CAGGGCATCTCATTAGAATCTCCCGCAAGCACAGGTGCTAGGCTTACATGGGAGGACTCTCCCTAGGGAGACACATTCAAGTATTTAGTGGTTACTGTACCGTAGTATTTTCTCAAAGGGCAACATTTAAGAGGCAGAGTGGTGTATCAGAAGAGGAAAGGATTTATATTTTATATTAGTTAGGATTCATGCAGGTACAAATAAATGACATCAACCCAAGACAACATAAGTTATTTCTATCTATTGCTCTATCTACCTATCTATCCATCTATCCATCTCTATCTATCATCTATCGATCTATATACTATCTGTCTTTCTATCATCTATATATTTATCCATCTATCCATCTCTACCTGTGATCTATCTATCGATCTATATATTATCTATCTATTTAGCCATCTATCCATCTCTATCTTTCTACCTATCTATCATCTATTTATCCACCTGTCCATCTCTACCTATCTATCATCTATCAACCTATCTATTATCTATCTTTCTATCATCTATCTATCTATCCATCTCTATCTACCTATCTAGCTATCTATCATCTCTCCATCTACCTACCTATCATCTATCTACCTATCATCTATCTGTCTGTCTGTCCATCTAGTTGTCATCTATCTACCTACCTACTATCTATCTATCACCTGTCTATCTACCTATCTATTATCTATCTATCTATCTATCTATCTATCTATCTATCTATCTATCTATCAATTCCTCCCTCTTTCTAGTACTAAGACTGGTTTCAAGATCTGCTGGATCCAGAAGCTTAAATAATTGTATCAGGACCTGACCTCACACTGTCTCTCAGTTCCAGTTTTCCTTGTCTTATGTCCATTCTCAAATAGAATCTTTTTGGTGGCTTCCAGACAATTCCTTTAGAATGGGAGATTTTCTGTTTTCAACAATTTCAACAAAAGTCCCAGAACCAAATCTTGCCAACTCCACTTGGACTGTGTGCTTCTTCCTGAGCCTGTCACTGTCATGGTGCTCTGGCTGGCTAGGCCTGGGACTCCTGCTTCACCTGCTTCTCTCTGGAGCTTGGGGGAGTCAACTGCATTTGAAATACATGGGCTGAAAATAAGAGAAGCGTGATTCTATAAGGAAAGTTAGGAGGTGATGTTGCTACCAAACAGAAAAAGGAAACAGGTCAGGCAGAAAGAAATAGATGCCAGTACATCTAGGATTTTAGCAGCGTGGAGTCTGGTTCCTGGCCCTAGCTTTCATCATTTCTAGGGACTCAAACAAGTCATCTTTTTCTTTGCTGCTGTTTCTTTGTTGTGGAGATTTGTCTCTTGAATCCTAATTTTCTGTACTTTTACTTGGATACTTCCCAGGGTACTCACTATAGTATCCATTGCAGTGTTCAGAACTGACTTGTGTTTGCATTGAGGTGCAATGAGTGTTTATATTTTTATTGTGTGGTAGAAAAATTGCCTAATCAGTTTTTCAAATTACTTCACATCAAGTAACACATCAGTGACATGTTACATTTCTCCTTGATCTCAGGAGATGCCTCCTTCTTAAATATCAGCCGCTGGTGTTGATTTTAAATTTCTTCTGTGTAGCTGTCCCCATAAGGTCTCAGTTGGGTTCCAATTTTTGAACTTGTAATATTGCTTTAGAAAGCAGGATCTTTCTGACAATAAACATTCTGTGCGCTTCTAAAATTCAGATAAACTGCTTAGATAACAGAAGGGTTATTAAAAGGTACAAATTCTCACTGTTAATATTTTTAGTATACAATAATAATTATTATGTATCATTTGTTGAATACTCCTAGGTGCCAAGAAACGTACAAAATATTTTACATACACAATCTAACTTTATCTTCTCAAAAAGGTCCCAAGCCCTCTCTCCAGTCTGAGTATTGGAGGTTCTTGTCTTTTCTCCTTTCCCTTTTCACCATCTGCACCATTCTATTCCTTGTGACCAGTGTTTTCTAATATATAACTCACCTTCTTCTCTGGTTTCTCTGTTTGTTTTTGCTTCCAGATTTATTCATTGCTTCTGTTAGGGTCACAAGTGGCCAGGTGATACCCAGGTAACATATACTCCTTTTGAATGCAGGAGGCAGGGAAGAGGCATCAAATCCACAGCTCCTTAGGCCAGAAGTGGCTTCCCTCAAACCAAAAGCCATGCTCACTTGCAGAGGCAGGGCAGAAAATCCAACACACAGACCCTGTCAATGTTGCTGAATGAGGGTGGCAGTGCCGTGTAAGTCAGGGAAGACTGTGGTAACCTCTGGGAGTAACCTTTTCCATGCCATGTGTCCACAGAGCAGGGCAAGGCCAGCCCTGGAGCTAAAGGGATTCACACTGGTGGGAGAACAGACATTCCAAGGAATGCCAGAGGGGCCTCATGGGCTTAAATCTAACAAATGAACAAAGTCAGTTTTAGACAAATAATTAGGTAGGTGTCCTCAGTGCCCGGCATTAATATGTTTGTATTTGTACACCAGCAAGCCCTTAATAAATACGTTCTCTCCTGTCCCATAAAAATACTCTGTAAACAAATAACAGGACACACCACTTTTGCTGACAAATCATTTTTCCTTTCTATCTAGGTGCCAGTTGCACTTTATAAATGACTTTAATTTACAGTGCATTATGTTTCTTTGTATTTCTTGCCTCTAAATCCCCATGCAATATTTTGTATCCATTCCCGTGATAGTTTAACTGTCTTTAACCTTTTCAGTGAGGGGTGTGTGTATGAGTATAAATATATGTGTTTGTGTGTAAGTATCTGTGTGTGTCTGTGTGTGTATGTTTGATGACACCATATATTTCATTCCATCATTTCTAAATGGATCAACTCAACATTGTCATTTTTGCCATATGTTTTATAATCATTGTCTTTCCATTAACATCAATTGTATTTGCTGGTCCCTGGATGGCTGCAGCCAGAGGAAGCTGATCACCTTTGGTGTGAATGTCAACGCAAACACTGAGTTGGGTTGGGGGAGTTCATTGTGGAAGTCAAAGCAGATGTCACTGACCAGACTTCTCATCCATTTCAAGTGAAATTCTCTAAAAACTCACCTGAAGCTTTCCCCCAGAAAACACCAAGGTGCAGTATTCAACAAAAGGCAAACTAATACTAACTACTATTTATTAGGCACCTACTGTGTGCAAAGTCTTCTACTTGTACAGTTTCACTAATCTTCATAAAGATGCCCTAGGAGGTGGGTATTATCATCACCATCTACACTTGAGAGCTTGAAACTGAAGTTCAGAGGAAATGAAGTTAGTACAAAGCTCAGCTGCGTTTGAATCTGTCACCAAAGCCTGCCTCATATCTCTGACCAATATAGCCAGAATCTGACTCTAGAGGGTACAGGGATAAGGACTTTGCATACAGAGTCAGATTATTTTGCCGGTGTTGTGTGCTCTTCCCTTGTAGCTTGGTCCTAGGCTGCCCATGAGTTTGCCAAAAGTGTACTGCAGCCCGCTCTGAGGCAGGGCAGGGCAGGGCACTGAGGTTGGGCGGTTGAATGCATCTGACTCTGGTGCCTGAGATTCTCACAATCTAGTGGACCCCTAGACAAGCCAACAGATACCCCTACCCCACTGCAAAGTAGAGACCCATCCATCCATCCATCCATTCACTCATTCATACAGCAAATATTTATTAAACTCTGTGCCAGGTACTGTTGTAAGCACTGGGGTTACAAGACAGACAATAGCTCTGAGCTCACACTAAACAAACTAGCAATATAACAGACAATAATTAAGAGGGTTCTGTCTTAGTTTTCTATTGCTGCCACAGCACACTACTGTGAATCTAACAGCTTAAAACAACAACCATGTATTATCTCACAGTTCTGTAGGTCAGAAGTCCAGGTAGGCGCATGTGAGCTCTCTGCTGCAAGTCTCACTAGGCCAACATCAAAGGGTCAACCATCTGGGCTCTTCTCAGGAGATTCTGGAAGGAATCTTCCAGGCTCATTCCGATTGCTGGCAGAATACAGTTCCCTGTGGCTGCAGGACGGAGGTCCCTGCTTCCTTGCTGGCCATCAGCCTGGGGCCACTCTCTCAGCCTCTGGAGGCTGCCCGCCTTCCTTCTCATCTCATGGACCCTACACCTCTTCTCATCAGCTACTGTGCATGCTGGAATCTTGCTGGTTTCCTTTTCTGCCCTTATTCTCTGCATTTAAGGGCTCATATGCTGGTATTACATCTACTTGGATAATCCAAAATTATTAATACCTCCCTATCTTAAGGTCAACTGACAAGTAACCTTTATTACATCTGCTGAGTCTCTTTTCCCCATAAAATTACACCTTCATAGGTATACCAATGGCAAAGAGGGCCAAAAACACAGAAAAAAATAATGTGATCATCATTCATTCAACGAATACTTATTGAGCACCTATTATACACCAGGCACTGTTCTAAGTGCTGGTTATACAACAATGAACAAAACAAACAGAAATGCCTAGCGTCCTGGAGCTTACCTTTTAGTGAGAAAAAGACACCAAAAAACAAGATAAATAGGTAGAAGTATATGCTGTGTCTGGCATTGATACATGCTATAGAGAAAGATATATTGAGACAAGTCTAGGGAGGCATTGGGAATGTGGTTATACTTTGAAATAGAGTGGTCAGGGAAGGACTCACTGAGAAATTGAAGGAAGAGAGAGAGCATGCCATGCATGTAACTGGGAAAGAACTTTCTAGAAAGAAAGAACAGTAGGTGCAAAAGTGCTGAGGTGGGGGCATGCCCCACAGGTTCAAGGAGCAGCAAAGAAAGCAGTAAAGTCTAAAGGAGGAAGGAGAAGGCCCCTCAAAGAGAGCAACAGCCAGGTCATGTGAGGCTGGGGCATGGCGTGATGGTAACAGGAGGTGCAGGGTGGAGAGGGAGGTGCTGATTTAATTTTTGTGGTCAGAGAAGGTGTGTGTATTGGTTAGCTATTTTTGTACAACACATTAGCAATTCAAAACCACAAATGTTTGTTTTCTCAGTTTTTAAGGGTCAGGAATCTGGAAGTGGCTTACCTGGAGTGGGTCAGGCTAAGGGTCTCTCACAAGGCTGCAATCAAGTTGTCAGCTGGGAGTTCAGTCATCTGAGGCTTGACTGAAGCTAGTGGATATCCTCCCACATGCAGCTGTTGGCCTGCAGCTTCTGCTCCTTGCCAAGCACGTCTCTGCACAGGACAGCTGGAATAGCTTCCCCCAGCGCAAATGATCTGCAGGAAAGGAAGATGCCACACTGCCTTTTATAACAGTCTCTGAAACACACACACACACGGGCACACACACACATACACACACACACCTTATTTTGTTGTTTAGACTCAAGTCACTGAGTCCAGCCCTCACTCAACAGGAAGTTACTGCACAAGATTGTGAATACCAAGAGATGGGTATCACTGGGGCCACCTCGGAGGCTGGCTGCCACAGAAGGCTTCTCAAAAGATGGGATATTTGATCTGAGAGCTCAGTGATGAGAACAGTCCAGTCAGCTCTTCCAGGGCAGCTGACTCTTTCCGATAATGAGCCTGAAAGAAGCACTTTGGACAGAGGGAAGGAGATATTCGCACAGACTGTGGTTCTCTTCATCCTCACCAAGTCCAGACTCATCATGCCTCCTCCACCTCTTCAAATGCTTCCCTTCTTCCTCCTCCACTTTCCTTTCCCATCAGGCCACTGGAGTTTATAGTTGAAACCACATGCCCCAGGGTGTTCCTGACCCCTGCTCTTTGCTTAAGCTATTCTCCTACCCAGCATGCCACCACCTCTTCCCTACTTCCCTAAACATGGACTATACTCAGAGCCAACCCAAGCCACCACGTCCTCTTAGTAGCCTCCCCTGATGTTGCAGCCCACACTGATGGCTTTTCTGAATCAAGGACGCCTCATAGCAGGAAATCTGGTCCCATTTCTATCAGTGTCTCATGTCTCCAACTCCATTGTAAGCTCCCGGGGGCAAGGACTGTGTTGTACTTACTTCTGACGTTCCTAAAGACCCCTGCCACAGTTGGAGTCCTGGTGGTCAAGAAATGGCTCACCCAGATGGGGTTATTTGAGGAGTATTAATAAAGGGACTTGTTTACAGAGTTTAGAGAAACTAATAAAGGATAGTATGGTGTCCAGGACTGGCTAAAGCAGGGAGCCGATACCCCCACCTGCACCCCACCGTCTGAGGCCTGGAGGAGCAAAGGGAGCTGGCAGTTTCCCAAACTGGAGAGAAGAATGTAAAGGAAGAGCCACCTGATGGGAGATGTGGCCTGCAGGGCCAAGCCACAGTGACCTGGCAGGAGAGAACAAGGAATATAACCCTCGCCTCTTGCTCCTCCCATCTTCCTATCTTCATTGGCAGCTTTCATTGGCCAAATGCAAACAGAAGCCAGAAGGTAGGGGAGTCAGATCAGTTCACATAGGTCAGCCCCCGAGCTGCAGCAGAGTGGAGAAGAGTAGAGAAGGAATCTGGACAAGCCAATAGACTCTACAGTGTAAGACTCAGAGCTGGAAGCCTGCTTAGTTCTCTAGTGCCTCCTCCCAGCCTGGTACCCAAATCCCTGCTGACAGGACATCTGCCCCATCTGCAGTCCTTCTCCTATACGGTTAATGTGGCTCCATAGCTGTCTAAAAAGTGCATCTCTGAACCATTGACTTTGTGATGTAAATATCCCAAGAAAGCAAATCGTGTTTGTGCTGGGGTTGACCCTTTTCGTGTTCATGGTAAGCTGACAATGAAAGTAGCATCCTTACTCCCTGAGGAGAGCAGGTGCCTCCATGATTAAGGAGCATGTTGGAAAGGGTGGGAACATTGGGCTCTATGATAATTGGCACATTCTTCCATCTGGTCCCTTTACAATGCTTGGAATTTATAAAGCCACTGCTGGAGTTTATGCAAAATCTCTTGCTTTTAATTAAGTGGCCTAGTTTCAGTAAATAGTGTGACAGGGAGGAATCTATCAGTAGGGACTGATGTTATGAGCAAAAGAGTTGCCAGGCCCAGTGGAAATGCAGTCTCCATATGGAGAGACTTGGAGGGAGCTGCTCTGGCAGGACGTTGCCATTTCAGTGATCACAGACCAAACAGAAGCCTCCAGACGCAACTCTGGAGTGAAATGAAGCCAAGACTGTCTGCTTCCAAGGAGAATAGCTGCAGACCCCAGACTGCCCTGTGGACACCGCAAGCCCAGAATTCACACAGCTGAAAGGGGCTTATGGACCATCTTCCCAGCTGCTGGCCCAGGGCCAAAGATGGGGCTGGATCCATGGTGCAGTTTTCACCACAGTCCAAAAAGAAGTGAGAAAAATGACAACAAAGTCAGCTCTTTAAAACTAATGTAAAATTTGGCCACGCAAGGTGGCTCATGCCTGTAATTCCAGCACTTTGGGAAGCCGAGGTGGGTGGATCACTTGAGGTCAGGAGTTCAAGACCAGCCTGACCAACACGGTGAAACCCCGTCTTTTCTAAAAATAAAATAAATTAGCTGGGCATGGTGGTGCACACCTGTAATCTCAGCTATTTGGGAGGCTGACGCAGGAGAATTGCTTGAACCCAGGAGACAAAGGTTGCAGTGAGCCGAGACGGTACCACTGCACTCGAGTCTGAACGACAAAAGCAAAACTCTGTCTCAAAAAAAAAAAGAACAAAACAAAACAAAAAACCCAACAAAAAAAAAAGCACCACTAATGTAATTCCATTTAACGAAATTTTTAAAATTTTGTATTTTTATACATTGTATTATTCCTTCTTTCTTTGCCTGATGTGAAACTGTCTTTTGTTTAACAAGAGATTTTAAAAGTAGACAGTCAGGGTTTTTAAAAATGTAGTTTCCTAACTTGAGCTCCATCCCCCGCACCACACACATACACATTAAGAAATATGAGTGGTCCATGAAATCCCAAGCACTGGCCACTCATGGTCTAACAATGTGTCAAGATGCCCATGTTCAGATGGGGAAGATGAGATTCTGAGACTTAAAACAGGTCCAGGAAGGTAGGTGGAAAACTGTCATCCCACAGTGTTGCTGCTTTTCCCCAGGCCCCACAAGGTTGTGGTGACTTAACAGTGGGGAGAGGAGGCAGGGAGCCTGGGAGCTCCCCCCGACCTCTGCTGGGGCATGCCTCCTCCAAGTGAGTCACCCCTGCCTGGCACTCCAGGAGCAGCATAACAGAAATGCCTTCACCCACATTAGAATCAGGCTGTGGCCCCTCCCGCTCTCTTCTTCCTTGACTTCCACGGGATTCAGATGGCATCCACATCTTCAGCTCACATTTTTAAGGTTCATGCTTTACTGCCCAAGAAGATGGACCAGTGATTTGAAGTTAAGCAGGCCTGGCCTGGCCACTTAACCAGCAGAAACTTGTCTTCGGTGAGCTTCCTAACCTCTCTGATTCCCCAATGCCTGATCATTTATTTGCTCTCTACTCCACTAAAACTCCAGGTGGGCAGGGACTGTGCCAATCTTGTTTACAGATCTGTCTGTAGCACCTAACACAGGGCCAGGCTTATAGCTAGCACCTAGAAAATACACTTAAAAAAAAACCTCATTCTGTAAAGGTTTCAAGACTACAAGCCCACATCTGTGGAATGGATGTGATAATGATACCTTTCTCTTACGTTTCTAGGAAAGCTTTGCAATATTATGATAATTATGGCCACAGGTACACTTGCAAACTGTCAGTTCCCTACCACCCAGACACCAAGGACTGTAGCAGGGAGTGTCAGCATGACCAGGGAACAAGATTTCCCATGATCCAGTCCTGGGAGACATCAGCTGTGTAGCAGAATTCATGGAAATCCGGCAAGGTCCAGAGCAGCTCCCCAAGAAAACAAATCAAAGGAAAGGCTTTGGGCACACCCTGCTCTCCACCAGACCCAGGCTGCCTGACTCAGGTGTCTTTCCTACCGGGAGATGCTGTCACAAAGTTGGTATTTGTGTCACACAGGGAGATTGTAAAATGCTGTATTTGGAAACATGAATGTGTAATGTCTCCCTGGAAATCTACACCTTCTCAGTGAACGATACAAGTGCAGTCCAAGACAGACATGTTTAATTAGTGGGCAAACTTGACATTTCCAGTGTTTGGACTAGACAGAGGGAAAGCCAAGAGCAAACCGAGGTCTATTCTTCATCCCCTCCCCCCAGCTTGCTGACAGAGAATAATTTATTGGGTTTAAAGAAAAATGAATGTCTTTACAATAACAGCAGAGAAAAGGCCAGGAGATCCAAGGGTGGTTATTAAATAATTGTCACCACTAAACACGCGTCTCCCTCATCTTCTCCACTCCTGCCCTTCTTGGGCCCCTGCTTGATCAACATGCATATGCTCATGCTGGCGTTTCTGTCCACCCAGTCTCTTGGGTGCTGGGTCTCAGAGGTGCTCTTGTGTTACCCACATCTGAGATCTGCAATTCTAATTTTTTGATATCTAAGATATCTGAGTCCTCCTTATCTTTCTCAGGCTCATGATTGCTTGCAGTAACTTTCTTTCTTCTTTCTTTCTTTCTTTCTTTCTTTCTTTCTTTCTTTCTTTCTTTCTTTCTTTCTTTCTTTCTTTTTCTTTCTTTCTTTCTTCTGTCTTTTTCTTTCTTTCTTAGAGACTGTGTTTCACTCTGTGGCTCAGGCTGGAGTGCAGTGGCGTGACCTCACCGTAACCTCAAACTCCCGGGCTCAAGTAATCCTCTTGTCTCAGCCTCCTGAATAGCTGGGACTGCAGGTGTGTGCCACCATGGACAGCTAATTTTAAAAATTTCTATAGAGAAAGGGGTCTCATTATGTTTCCCAGGCTGGTCTCAAACTTCTGGGCTCAAACAATCATCCCACCTCAGCCTCCCAAAGCACTGGGATTACAGGCATAAGACACTGTACCCAGCCAGCTTATTAACTGGTCCCCACCCCTCCTGCCCTCCCACCACTCTGAGTTTACACATTTCTGCCAGAACAAGTTTTGCAGAGCATGGCTTTGTTTGTGTCTCTTCCTTTTACCAAGGTTTTCAGTAGTTCTTTATTTATTAAACAAGATCAATTGTATACCTTTCATGGCCAAGCTCCGGGAGTCAATGATGTCTAAGGCTGCCTTGAGATGAAGCCCAAATATTTAATCTGGCATTTAGTCATACCTCAATATACCCTTCTGGGTTTATCCCTCCTCCCTCCAATCTTGTACTTTTTATTTATTTATTTGTTAGAGACAGGGTTTCACCTCTGTTGCCGATGCTGAGTGCAATGATGTGATTACAATTCACTGCAGCCTCGGCCTCTAGGACTCAAGTAATTCTCCCACTTCAGCCTCCCAAATAGCTGGGACCATAGGTGTGTGTCACCACACCTATCTACTTTTTTATTTTTTGTAGAAATGAGGTTTTGCTATGCTCCCGGGCTGGTCTTAAACTCCTGGACTCAGATGATCCTCCTTCAAAATGTTATGGTTTAGACACATCCACAACCCGCTGGTTCTCTGATACTCCCTGCATATCTCCATCCTCAAATGCACCTTCACTGAAGAACTTCTGTGCACAGTGTTGAAGACTTTTCATCTATTTTTTTGTTCATTACTGGCCATTATTTACAAGACCAGGATTCTTACTGCTCATGCGTTCATTTACACAAATCCCTTCACCGAAATGCTCCTCTTTCCGCCAGTTCCCTCATTCTTTAATGGCCAAGCTAAATGTCACATGTGATACTCCTCGTGGTATTATCATTCACCCACCTTCATGTTGCCATAGAACCTTCCTTGAAGTCCCCTTACACTACCTGACACACTTTACCCTATAGATCATGGAATAACTCAGAAATTGATAACCAAAAGAACATATCAGTCAGAGTTCAATCAAAATAAATGAATCATATGATAAATGTTTGAGGTGATGAATATCTTAATTACCCTGATTTGATCACTACCCATTGTATGCATTTAACAGAATATCACATGTACCCCTAAAATATGTACAATCATTATGTATCGATTAAAAAGTAAACCACTCTGATATGTCAAACAGAGGGAACATAATTGGTTACACAAGTAATGGAAAAACAGAAAAATCAAGCAAACGATGCAAGTCAGCCAAAGATTGGTGATGGTAAGAAGCTGCTACCACCACAAGACTGGTAGGCAGGCAGGAAGTGCAGTTACCAGAGCCCTGGTTTCAGGTCATCCAGCAGAAGCTGGAAATGTGGTAGGTCATTCAGTGAGGGCTAGAGCCTCAGAGGAGACGTGACCTCTAGCAGAGATGTTGCTGGAGGCCATGGAGGGAGATGCCCTGCTTCTCTCCTCTTTTCACCATCTGATTCGCCCCAAGAGCTGCCTGTGGCTGAACCCAGATGGGGGTGAGCTGGCGTGGGAACCTGAGACTCCTGGCTCCATGATATAGAGCAGGGCAGGGCAGGAGTGGGGAACTACACAGCTCGCATGCAATACCTCATGTTTCTAAAACTAGAACACTTCATTAAAGTAACAGCATGTTTCATTAACTCATCTCCAGCATGAAACCTTACATAATACTTTTAAGGAAATGCAAACCCTTCAGTGTAGCTTATTTCCCTCGTTCACCCTCCATTCCTAGCAATTCTTCACTTTGCTCCAGCTGCCTTGAGCCTGACTCCAAGGAGAACCACCGTGACCTTTTCCTGGGCTGAGGCTCGTGACTCATTTCCCACCAAGCTCAGCTCTTGGTTTGTGGAGTCACTTCATTTGCCCTAAGGAGACTTCAGTGGGTTATTCTCTACTAATGCTCATGACCCAAAAGGCTTACACTTGCCCTGTTGGTCTCTTCCAGGACACCACGTTTTCCTGCCATGGCAAGGCTAAGGGAAGTGCTCCACCAGGGGACAGCAGAAAGTAAGATGAAGGCTGTGGGCTCAAATCTCAGGGTTTGAACTTCAAACGCACACCCTGCTGTCTTGGCTACTGACCTTGAGCATTGACTTGATCTCTCCAGAGTTACAGCTTGCAATGGGAGCATCTACCGCATAAGGTTACTGTGAGGATTAAGTAAAATGATACATGTAAAACAGTTGGCCCAATTCCAACTACGTAATGCATTTAGTAGCTGTGAGCTATCATCATTTTTCCTTTACAATCAGAACAGCCAAACCATCATGAAAGCCCATGGGTTGTGTGGATGTAGCAGCCAGCTCCACGTTCTCCAACAACTTTGTTTTTAATCAAGCAAATATTCTTTTCATAATTACTTTGTATGTCACTAAGTCCAGCTAATTTCCAATGCTTCAGAATCAGTCTTGGAATGTTACAGCTGGTAGAGAGCTTAAAGATTGTCTGGTTTAGTTCTCTCTCACTACATAAAGAGGGCCAAAACACAGGGTAAATTCGTCTTCTATATATACGTATATAGATAGATAGAGAGAGAGAGAGAGATATCCATATATACAGTCATGCATTACATGGCATTTCGGTCAATGATGGACTGCATATATAACGGTGTTCCTGTAAGATTATAGTATCACATTTTTATTGTTCTTTTCTATATTTAAATATGTTTAAGGACACAATGTGCTGCAATTGCCTACAGTATTCATCACAGCAACATGCTGTCCAGGTTTATAGCTTGGGAACAATAGACTATAACACATAGCCTAGGTATGTAGTCAGCTATACCATCTAGGTTTGTATAAATACACTCCATGAGGTTCACACAAATGATGAAATTACTTAATGGTGGATTACTCAGAACATATTTCCTTCATTAAGCAACACATGACTGTATATATCATGGCAAAAAGAAACAAGAAGAAAACATATAAGCATTTATGAACTTACCACTTAGAGATAAATAAGTTATCATTTTCTACATAACCATTTAGTGTTTCTTATAAATATTTTTAAATAAAGATGAAATTATAGCATACATACTCTTTTAAAAAGTAACTTTTTATCCAAATAACACCATTTCTTCATCATCTTTCCATGACATTACATATTATTTTAAGAGCTTCACTTGTTTATTTTATTTAATAAATTCCACTTTTTAAAAAATTGGAAACATTTAGGATGGTTCCAATTTTTCGCCATTATAAACAATGGCTTCAAAATGCTTCTGAACGGGACCAAATACCACCTTTTCCTCTGAGCACTTTAAGTCCTTTGGGCTACAATCAGATGTTGAGTTTTCAAGCAAACTGTCTGGTTTCTTCAAGCTGCCTCCTCCAGCAAGGAGATTTCTCACCTGCTGTTACATGAACCTATTCTTGCAGCATGTCCATGAGGTCAGCCCTTGCAGAGCTACAATGAGTGAGTCTGAGGAGCAGGTCTCAGCATGGCTGGCTTCCTTGGCCTTTTGCCAGATGAAATCTATCCACATGTTTTCTTCAGGTGTGGGCCCACGTTATAGGCACAGGGGCATTATGTGAAGCTCCACAAATGCTTTCTTAAAGATGATGCGTGATATCACAAGGTGACTCTATGATGTGTTTTCCCATCCTCTGCCTTTTCAGGACCTGCAGGGCAGGCTTTGTGTTATATAGGAAGCTTCTGAACTGAGAGCAGCCACTGGGAGCGTCAATCAGACTCCCCAGACTAGAAAGAACTTAGAAGCAGTGGCCAATGTTCTTGGGATGTGGCCAGTGATGTTGCAGTCTCTAATTCCAGGCCTTTTGTGTAGTCATAAGAGGCTGGTGTCCTGGAGATAATTATGGGGCACTGGGAACAATCCCTTGCCCCAAAACTTATTCTCCAACAACCTGTGACAGTGCCTCAAGCTCTGCCCTAACAAGATATCAAGGTGATAGATATGAAGGCTTTCATAAATTCCTCTGATAAAATCCACAAATCTCAGGAGAAGGAACATACTAATCCACGACCAGCCCCTGGCCCTCCCCTAGGATTCCCTTGTGAGAAGGAGTCAGTATTCGTTTGCTTGGACTGCCATTACAAAGCATCGGACTGGATGAAGAACAACAGAAATTTATTTCCCACAGTTCTTCAGGCTGGAAGTTTGAGATCGAGGTGTTGATAGGGTTGGCTCCTTCCTTCTGAAGCCTGTGAGAGAAGGATCTGTGCCAGGCCTCTGTCCTTGGATTATATATAGATGCTACCATCTTCTCTCTGCATCTTCACACGGCCTTCCATCTGTAGGGGTCTGTGTCCAAGTCTCCTCTTCTTATAAGGACTTCAGTCATAATGGATTAGGGACTGCCTTTGTGACTTTATTTAAACTTAATTGCCTCTTTTAAGATCCTATCTCCAACTACAGTCACAGTCTGCAGTACTGGAGGTAGGATTTCAACACATGAATTTGAGTGTGTGACACAATTCAGCCTGAAATGGAGTCCAAGTACAAGAATTAACATAGAAAGATCTCCAAAGAATTGTAGACAGAAAGAAAAAGCAAGCTGATGAATGATATTCTCTACACTATCATTTATGAAACAGTTTGAAAACATACAAGTTTATATCCCACATTTTTCTATTAATTCATAAATGATAGACTTGGACAGGAAGGATAAACACGACTTTCACAATAGTTCCTTCTGAGGAAGAAAAGAAAAATGGAATTGTGAAGATTTCAAAGGGTAAACTTTGCTGTATCTATCATGCATTTTTTAAGCTGGGGCACGTATAGCAAGCCATCAGTACTTGTTCCATCTGGAGGCGATTACATATGTGTTACGTAGAATACTCTGTATTCTTCTCTGTTTCTGACATTTTCCATGATTTGGGCAATGAAGAAAAGAGGCCAGGGATCATCAAGGAAACCCTGGGTCTCCCTGGCTTTTCTGATACTCTGGGGAGTGATGGGATTGAATCATTTGACCTCTAAGGGTCGGTGGGAGGGCCGCGAGAGATGAGAATGTGCATGCTTCAGGAAAAAGGCTCTCAGCACTAACAACCCTGCCCAGGCTCCTCAGGACATGACCCTGGAAGCCTCTGAGATAGAAGCATAAAAACCACAAGATGGAGCCTGCCCCTATCCCAGTAAGAGGAGTGAGGGTTCTCCACAGCCTGTTCAGTTTCCTTGTACAGCAACCTCCTCATTGTTCCCCAGAGCTCCCACCTCTGCCATCTTCTTCTCCAAGGGCACCAAGTGCCTATGAAGTGTTTACCAGCATCCATGGGAAGAAGGAGCCCCATGGTGACCTCATAAGAGAGCAGTGGAGCAGCTTGTGTCCAGGTCTGTTTTATGCCAAGCACAGAGACCAGCCAGGAAGGGTGATCTACCAACTCCGTGCAAGCAGAAAACTCACCAGGAGGTGTGCCAGCCACTTAGAGGGCACCTGAAGCTCTTTTAGATTTTTTAAATTTTATTTTTATTTATTTTTAATTTTTGAGGATGGAGAACATGTCTTTTCGCCTTTACACTTATTCTCCCCCAAACATCCAGTCAGAGTCCACCTAGCACATGTCTTAAACAATATTTTTGGTAAGCAGTTCTGTGGAAAGTATACAAAAACAGCAAAGTGAGAATAGAAAACCAAAGTATGAATGAAGAAGCACAAACATCAACATTATTTACAGTCTTTCTGGCTTTTTGGTATTTGTAATATCATTTGATTCTCACAATAAACTGTGGGCCAGCTGGGATAGAGAGAAACAGACCAGCTTGCAGTCACAAGGCCCAGAGGCCAGAGGTGACTTGCCCACTCTCCCACCTACCCAGCAGCACGCTCTCCTCAATTCACCTAGACCCCATCACACTCACCATTGTCTGCCCCATTCCTTTCACACCTACCACCCCTTCTCTGCCTTGCTTGTCTGATCCCCTCAATTAGGTTAAAGTGTGAGAACAACAATTCAAATGCTATCCTCAGATGTTCAAACATGTGGCATTTTTTACATTCTGTAGCTGAGTTAAATTTCCTATGAATCCCTTACTACTGACTGATAATGGAGCATACAGAATTTAGGCTTTCCAATCAACATCTCAGTATCAAATGGTTGCTAACATTGTTGAGTAAACATTTAGGAAATTCAGGTTTAGTCAGGGCTGTCTCTGCTACATCTTTTCTGGCTTTGTATTTTAATGAAGCTAAATTCCAGGGAGTTTTGTGTGGCAACGTAGTGATGATGAGGTAGGAGCTGCAGAACCAAGTGCCGTTGTTTTGTTTGTGGGGAGGGAATTCTGGACCATTTGTTTCTGGGGTGGCCATGTTCTGGCACATACCACTAAAGTCGTGGTAGTAAAATGTATAGTGCCCCAAAGAACCAAGCCTGTCTTGGTCCCAGCTGACACAGTCCCTCCAAAGCTGTAGGGATCCCTGCAGTGCAACTCAACTGCCAGCATCACTCCCTTTGAAAGGCTATGAGATCTCGGTGCTTCTTTCATGGTTCAATATAGTCAGGGTGATTGAGAGACACCAATGTCAACCCTCTCACTTCCTACATCATCACTGCAGCTGGTCCCAACTCCAGCCTATGTGAGATCATGCTATTCCAGCTCCATGTTAAACATGAGGATTTTTCTCAGAAGCTTGCAATATTTTTCAGGTTGACCCCCATGAAGTAAGAAGCAAATTCTCTAATCCAGAAGTTCTCCAAACCTATGAGAGCTTTTCTAATTTTGTCTAGGTCTCCACAACTCCTCCCCTCAAGGGGGTACCTAGAACCCCAACTTGTGATCTCTTGCCTTCCTTCCACCATTTTTTTTTCTCCCAAGAAGATCTCTTTCTGTTCTTTCCTGATGAACACTCTTTATTTTAGCTGCTGAATTTTCTCTGCCTGTGGTTACTAATGAAGCTGTAGGGTCCAAAGTAGCTAGAGTTGGTTATTGATTTATAAATAAGGCAGCTCTTGGAACTCAACCTAACTGTGGTCTTAAAAAGTCAACTTTGAGATTCAAAACTGACTAGGAAAACAAGATGTTTGGGTAATGAATACACATCAAAAACTACAATCTGGTAGTGTAACCATAAGCATCTTGGAGGGTAGGAAACCACTACAAACCTGAGTGAAGAGTATCATATCAACCTTTGTTAAATTGGGGAAAGAAGGTATAAAAGATGCTCCTTTCCACCTTTCTCACCCCCTGCCCTGCCACACCAAAATGTCTCCAGAGGTATACCAGATGGCGGAAACATCACTCCTACATTCTATTTTGCCATTTTGTGCAATTTAAATATATTTTCTCAGGTTCTTTTCTTCACTCATTTATCCCTTCCCCCTCTCTCATCTAATGGAAAACTGGGCAGCTGCTTTGAAATGTCACACCTGAAGTTAGCTCAGCTTGAAAAGTTTAAAAATAGTCAACACAAGGAACAAAGGTGTTTACCAGAAACAAATACTGTTAACAGCTCCTCCTAGACACACTTCAGGTTCCCACAGGGTGACAGAAT